CGGAGAAGCAACCACGCATAAGAAGAAGTCATGAAACCATTTTTTTTTTTTTCTTGTTTATTATACTTCCATTTCCATATGTAAAACTCCTCAGCTATTACAGAGATGGAGACACATATTGTCTAGACAAGCCAAAGATATCTTTTCCTTCAAATGGTGAAGTCCACTCCTCAGATGTAGCTGCTTGTGTTTCCGCCACCACTCCAACACCTGCATTCTCCATCGATACACCGTTGCTGCTGTTGCCTCTACTTCCCATGGAACCTTTTAGACTGTACGCATCATACATGTGGCTGCTGCTCTTTGACCCAGAGGACCACATTCCATTGACTCCAGTATTTTGGGATAAACCTTGATCTAAACTCCAGTCTATGCTAGTGTAGTCCACCGAACCACCAGAGCTCCAATCTATTGGTGAGGATGCACCCGAAGTTCCAGCTGAACCAACCGCAGAGAACAATCCCAATGAAGACGCAGCAGATATGGATGGAGATGAGGCGGTGTTTCTGTTCCATAAGCCACCATTACCTCGGGCATTACTACCATGTCGATCCACTGGGTTGTTACTGATTCGCTTCTGGTTTTGACATTGAAGTTGCTGGTAGATCTGATTTGGATTCAGATTGTTTGGACTCGGGCTTCGCGCAAGAGGGATATTATGTGTTTGTATGAACCCATTTGACTTTATCATCTCCATGCTTGTTGCAGGATGCCAACTGGTAGGGGATGCGCTCATGCTTGACGTTGGGAACGGATTCGTGCTAACAACTTGTGGCCGCTGCCGCATTGCTATGGTTGGTTCCCTATTTCCTGGCTGCTGCTGAGGGTTCTTAAATTCAATACCACTAGCTAAATAGCGAGCTTCGACCCTTGCAACAGGCTGAGGTGATGGTAATGGCGATGATGGCAAAGAGTAAGAAGCAGAAGGTACCTGTCCTGAATTTGGCCACCTTTTATCAGCTAAAACAGCAGATTGTTGAGCTTTTGACCACTCTAACGTCGGTTGGGGTTGTTTCATAGGCTGAACCATTTTGTTCACGGGTTCTGTTGTGGAGGGAGATCTTGTATAGTTAAAATTCTTGTCATCTCTTATAGGCTGTAAACCAGGTAACAGAACAGGTTGTGTTTCTGGCCTTTCTGTATCTGAATTCTGATAATCTATCCCTACTATACGTTTACCATTACTGGCTGTAAGAGGATCACCAGACTCTTCTTGTTTCACTGCCACAGAAAATTCTTCATACTTTGTGCCTTTCATGACTTCTTCTGCTCTGTCTAAATCACCCTCGGCTTGAACAACCGCACGCTCTACTTCCTGCCTTGTACACTTAAGCTGTAGCTCCATTTGTGAAATCCTAGCTAGTTCTTCTGTTATGTCTATCTTCAAATTCCCAGGACTCTGAATGCTCTGCTTCTCGATTTCTTCCTCTCCCCTGTCAAACAACCAATGAACAGATTCCTCCACCTTGCCTTCGTTCATCATCAATGCTGTCGTTGCATGGTCTTGAGATATTCCCATTGCCACAAGTTGCTGTGTAAGGGATTCAAGCTTTCTGGACATGAGATAAGTGCTACACTTCTCATACAACTCCTGAGCCCGCCTCTCCTTCTGGCGTTGATGTTTTCTCTCATTCTTTTGGCGAACTTTTTCTCGCTTGTCATTGTCGGCACCTGGTATCACCTCTTGCCTGAGGGGCAGATTAATTGTTTTCTCCTTGTGATCTTCTGACTCACCCGAGCAGCTACCATTGTTTGAAATACAATCCGACTCGACCCCATTTACATCTGCCTCATCTATACTTTGGAAACGACCATAGTGTAGTGGCGAGACAGAAGCTATTGACGCAGAATCAAGAACTTGAAATGTTCCGAGAAGAGGATTATAGGCACTAGGTGCCATGCTGCTGGTATTCCCATTAGTTGACAGTGAAGAAGGCTTTGAAGATGCCTTTCCCATTTTTTTATCCTTTGACTTTGACTTTGTTGCTGGAGACATCTCTGCAAAGAACATCAATACCCCTAAAATATCAAGAAATGAGCAACTAGTTAATGTCTTGGATACTCAGAATGGTAACATGAGACTCATTCTTCTTCAGGACTACAATATAACATAACACAACACAGCCCTATGATTCAACGAAACTGTAAAAGGGAATTCGAATACTCTGGGCAAGAACAAATACGAAACATACAAAAAGCAAAGGAGCATATGAACATACAAGAGGCGAATTACGTAAAACAATCAACGGGAATAAGCAAGGAAACAAAATATGAAACGCTGAAGCTTCTGATTCTTGTAGGTTTGGGAATTGACGAGATTAATCCGTGAGGAATCCCAAATTCGGCGAAATTCACGATAAACAGCGATACGAAAGCGGAAGGGGAATCGACAAGGAAGAAGGAAATGAACATGTAATTGAAAGAAACAGAGAGAGAGAAGAGGACCTGTTCGGAGAAGATCGGTGAATAAGGCGGAGGGAGAGAGAGATTGTGGAGGCCTAAACTGAATCTGCAAAAGAGACGATTAGGGTTTTGTTTGGGTGAAGAAAAAGGGAAATGAGGGCAATTTTGCTTTATCTTTCTTTGTCAATATGTTGTAAGCCAATGGATCTGTAACCAATGTCACTGACTTCTTGTCTCCCTTTTTCCGTCTCTACGAAAATTCATACATAATAACCCTCTACGTTTCGGATCGGATCACCCTTAACCCTCTCTCTATTCGATTTGACCCAATTTTTTTTTTATTCAAACACTAGAAAATACTCGTTTGTCTTGAAAAATTATTATCTAGATAAAATAACATACCATAAAATTATCTAGATATTGTGAAAGAGAACAAAATTTGTTATCTTTTCTTTCCTTCCAACATGTTGTCCAAACCCGGTCATTTTACCTTAGTATGTTGCGTCTCTCTTACAAATCTGTTTATGCTGTTGATTTAGATTTATGTTTGGATTAGTTTAGTTGTTGGTAATACTTCTTTGATGGTGGTCGTGCCATGTTTTCCATTTATGTCTCTTGCAGTATATAATTTTTGCTTTAGGTTTTTGAGGTTATCTTCCCAACTGGGTTAGAATTAGGGCTGGACAAATTATCCGTTAAATTCGTTTCGATCCGATCCGAAAAATCTGGATATCCGTTTTGAATCAAAGCGAAGAAAATAGTAAAATTTAGTTCCCGTCTAAACTGAAACAAACACAAATACTAATTTTAAAAATCCGAATATCCGATCCGATCCGTATATTACTTATATATACATATAATATGGTAGATTTATAACTTTATTTAAAATAGATAGATACTAACTTTATTTAAAATAGATATATACATATAATATAGTAAAAATAGATAGATACTAACTTTATTTAAAATATATTTCTTAAATAAAAAATATATATTCATTTTTCACCGTTTTAAACTTTCACTTTTTGTTTTTTTAAATAATTTATCGAATAAAATCCGGATATCCTTAAAATTACCACTATTGTCATAGGTAGACAATTTTCATTTTCGTTGTGATATTATATAACTATATTGACAAAATAAATATGCTAATAGATTTTGTTTTTTTGTTTCTTTGGTAGATTGTGCATATCTTAAACTTTTAAATTGAAATTTTTCCTATCTTTTCTAAATTTTTGTTTTTCAATTTATATAATATAAATATTTTTTCATTTGCATTTTATTTTTCTTAACTAAATTTTTTATTTTCTCTCTACTTTTTGTTTTTTACGGTTAATAATCTCTCTATTTTTTCTTAATTTATTTTTATAATTAGTTTGAAATATTAGAATTTTATTTCTAATTAATTTGAACTATTAGAAGATTTCCTTTTTTCTAATTAGTTTAAACTATAATTTTTTTTCTTTTTACTATTTGGTTAGTTACTTAACAATTATTTTGTTCATTTTTTATTTTTATATTTACCTTTTCTTAATTAATTTTAAGTATTAACACATGTGATCAATAGTACACACATGTCATAATCTGGTGATTTAAAATTTTGCTTACTTGTCATGCTCATGTTGTGCGCATCCTCTTATATATATTAAGAAGATACACAC